TTGGCTGAGTGGAATTAGCACCACTTGTATTTCAGGGTGGGACTCGATGGCTTTTAGCAGGAATGTGCTATCAGGGGTAAGGGAGGAGAGAGCACTGAGGAGAAGGAGGGGTAGCTTTTAGTAAGTTGAACAGCCTTGATCTTCCTCATTGCTGCTAGAGGTACACAGCAGGGGGCTGAAAAAATGCTTATTGGAGGGCCCAACACATTTAAACTAAAGCCACTACTGAAAATACTCATCACTCAGAGGTGGGAGGGAAGGAAATCTCTTGCCCCTTCTCTGTACATGCCACAAAAGCTGAAAGGCTACGTACCTGTTCTATCTCCTTCCACGTGGACCAGCTTTAAAGCAAGGTGTAACACCTCTTGTTTTTCCATTTTATGAAGGAAGAAGTTTATTAACTTCCAAAAATAAAAGGTTAATTTTAGCCAACAGCATGAACTAAGCCCAAATTGAGCTGGCATGTATATCAATCACCCTGGAGGAACAGCATTGGGATTTTTACTGATGGTTATGGTTTGCCAGCATTTTTTGCCAGAGGAAAGCAACTCATAAGTGAGAAATGCATGGTTCACTGGCCAGAGGTTTTCAGCTCTGTACTCTCCCAAATCAGGGGTATCCTGGAGATCAGATCAAGGGTCATAAAGTAATTTAAGAAGGGTGAATATAGTATAAGATGTCATATGCAGACATAGCCTGCTGCAGGGCGATCACCAATGACAAGAAAATGTACAGTGATGTGAGAAAACCCACTTGCCACCCTGGCTGGGTTGGTACTGCTTCTCTCTGACTCACTAATAACCCAAATGATTTTGAGCTGCTAGTAGACAAACTGGACTCCATAAGGCAGCAGAGGTCCAGCAACTAGCCCAGCCCTTCAGCCCCATGGCCCTGGCTGTGTTTTCCCACAAGGGCCTGCCCATGGGCAATTTGGTTTTGTTGCCAGGGGAACCCAAGTGAAAGAGGGCTGCATCATCCTCTCAGGCTGCCAGGGACATGTGGTGGGTTATTGATGGGAGGGAGCGTGACACCTGACCCCCCCAGCTTGGATAGGACTGCACTCCCCAAAGCAACCCCGCAGAGCAGTCCCTCTAAATCCACCCTAAGGATGCAGGAAAGAGGCAAGGATTAGCAAAAGAAGCCCCCAAAAGATGATAATATTGACTTAAAATAATTTTTAATAGTCCCACTGAGAATTGCATTGCAATTCATGTGTCAGATTGTGCCTTTGCTTGGCTATGGCAATGGTTGTGACCTCCGAATACGTTTCCCAAACTCTTCACAGGGAAGTGCTGGTGAATGGTCTATTAGAGAAATATATATTAAGACTGTTTGCATTAAGTAAAAATATTTCTGAAGCCCTTGATGGGAGGCAGTAGTGAGTGGCTTGTTCTGCAGAAGAAAAACTCAGGTAGGTTTCTTATTGCTGGGACTGATTTGCACCCTTCTCAATGGCACTAAGTGCTTCTTTTGGCAAAGCAGGGAGGCTTTGGAGCATCTTCCATGCTTCAAAAATCTGGATGTGCTCAGAGCTCCTCCAATTGCCCAGGTTTGGCTGTCAGCTTAGCAGGAAGGCTGAGCACAGGGAGGAGGGGTTTGCTGGGATCTGAGTGGTATTTCAGTCCGTCTCAGTCCCTGTTCCTTGGTGCGGGATGATGGCACTGAGTAACTACAGCAGGTGAGGGGAAAAATCATTCTTGTTCTGTAGCAGTGTTCGTCTTCGTTGAGAGATGCTGCTTTCAGCTGCTGCCTCAGGCAATCTGCTTTTGCCCTCTTCTGAAAAAACACGGTGTTACAAGGGGGACCTGTGTCTCTCCAGGCTGCCCCTGTTGTTCCCACACAGCTGGGAAAGTGTCTGCACAGTCAGCATTGAGTTCTGTACCTAAAAACATACAGTTCAAAACTCATTTTTAAGCTCAATGCTAAAGGTTGGTGCCCAACACCCTCTTTGTGGTGCCCAGCTTCTAAACCTGTAAAAAGATGCCATTTGAACTGATGCTTCAAATGATGCCACTTCAAATGGTTCCTCAAAGCTCATCCTTGGTTTTTAGACTTCTTTTAGGAAGCATTTTAGCAGTTCTTTGCAATTTTGCTGGCCTGAAGCAGTAGCACCATAGTGAATAGTGATCTGCAGGAGCAGATCACAACCCTGGAAGAAGTAAGAAGGCTTCCCCAAGGGGTATAATACCCAAAGGCTGAGTCCAGCAGGCTTTCTCAATGATGCTGCTGCTCCAAGATACATCACTGGAAAACCTGTGCAGCTGTGTGTGCTTTGGGCAAAGGACCCGACCTGAGCCTTGCCCAGCTGGTCTGCTGTGGCAATCCCCAAGCAAAGCTCACAGATCACCCTCCCCTCATCTGGCTCACTTGAATCACGGGGGACCTGATGCCTTTTTCATCCAGCACCTGCTTTTTCCAGTAATGCATCTCATGTGTGAGGGCTTTTAGGCTCTAGAAAGCAGAGATAACACACAATAATGGATGTTTCTTCTCTAAGCATAACATTTGCCTACTCACCTGGACACATCCCCACAATTAGCCTTTGTAAGAGTAGCTGGGATTTTAGAGACAAAATCTTTTTTGCTCTGTACCCCTAGAAAGTACTTACCACTCTTCACTCCCCACTTTGATCCAATACTCAAGGAAAACTTACAGTTTTTCTTTTCAGTGGCCACTTGTGCTATTTGGCAGGTGAGTTTGGAAGAGCAGAGCCAGGCACCTTGGTGGTGGTGAGGAGAGGGTTCAGGGTGAGCATCCCAAAATGGCATGTGCCCCAGGTGTAGGGCCAGAAATTCAGGCACAGAAATTCCAGGTGCTTTAACAGCAACTGTGCAAGGAGGTAATGTTGATTTATAACTGCATGCCATTTATACCTGAACTAGCCTGTTTTATACCTGACCTCGCCATTCAGGGAGGTCTCCCTGGGACTTCAGGGAAGCAGTGGGGCAAGAGGGCAGCAGTGACCATCAGGCAGAGCTGGGCATCATTCAACAGGCACAAAAATCTTTTGAGCAAAAGGCTTTTTATTCCACTAGATGGTGCCCAGGCCTTGCTGAGGGTTACTGCTTAATCGTGTGGACAAGAATGCAGTTGGGACTGATGGTGGGAGTGACTGGGCGCTACACCGGGGTCCACATGGGGCTGCAAAACCACCACTTCTAGGCCTGCCAGCAGTGAGACCCCAAAACCACCCTTTCATATGCCAGGCAATCCTGCTGAGCCTGAGTTCCCCGGAACACTGCCATAGCCCCTCAGACTTGGGGTGTCATGTGCCGTGACAATTCCGGGCATCAGTCACCCAGCCCAGTCTATGTAGCCCCTTTCACTGTGAACCAGATGGGCCAGCACAGAGGGTCCCTGAGCCTTTGGAGGTCTTCTGGATGCTGCCCCGAGCCTGGGAAGCTTCAGGCAAACCCCTGCCACAGGCTGCCTCAGTCTCCGTGTCCCTGCAGCACTGGCACCAGGCTGCCTGGGCTGGCTCCCCTGGGGGCACCAGGGCCTGGTGCCCTGGTGGGGGCATAGTGGGCACATGCAATTTTTGATCCTTTCCCGTGGAGAGCGTGAGCTGTAGCAAAGCAGAGCCCTGAGAGCTGATGCTAACTGATAGCACCAGTGAAATACACAGTGTTATCCTGGTCCTGATGGTTCCAGCATCAACCAGCAATGCATGATTCCTGAGACCCAAGCGGCCCAGAGAAGCTGTGGATGCCCCATTCCTGTAAGTGTTCAAGGCCAGATGGGGCCCTGAGCAACCTGATCTAGTGGGTGGCATCCCTGCCCATGGTAGGGGAGTTGATGATCTTTAAGGTTGCTTCCAACCTAAACCATTCTGTTATTCTATGGCCCCAAACAGGATCTGCCACTTCCCTGTGTGCAGTTGTGCAGAGGGCAGAGGAGCAGGCACTCTTTGGGTACCTCACTGACATCGTGGCGGCTCCCACCCCCTCCCTGCATGGGCACAGCGCTGGTGGGGAGTCCCCTCAGCATGTGCTGAGGCAGCACCTCTCCCCCTTGAGGCTCAGCAGCACTCCCACTGAGCCACTCGCTCTAGCACGTTGCTGAAAATGCCTGTTTTAGCAGCTTCTTGGACAGAAAAAGCAACCTGCAATTGCATAAACAGTGATTAACTTCAGGCACCACCGGTGGCATGGCTCCAGCGTGTCGAAGCCCAGCCTGGCTTGCGTGCGGGGGCCAGCGGTAGGAATGGTAGCAGGAGTGGCGGCAGCAAGGCCAGAGCGTTACGCTGCTGCTGGAGGCACGGTGTGGCCAGCAAATGGTCAGCCCTCCGGAGGGCTCAATGGGGATTTCTCAGTGCAGGAGATGGGCGAGCCAAGGGGGGTGATGGCCTTGTGGGGCTCCCCAGCAAGCGCTAACTACCCAGAGGGGCAAGTTGCCCTGGGCAGGATCTGCTGGGGTTTGATACCCCAAGGGAGGGATGTCTAGGGCTTCTTGGCCAGATTGCAGCCCCACAGCTGATGGCTGGGCCAGGGATGTGCTGCGGCCAGAAATCCCCTTATGCCCAGGGACCAGCCCCACCTCCATCATTTTGCTTGTGGCAGAGCAGCTGCCTGAAGTCCCACTGCAAACACCAGAGTTAGCAGATCCTCAGGTACAGGAATGCCTTTATTTCTCCAGTAGGCTGGAAGTGAAACTGCGAGGACAGAGGCTTTTTCTCACTGTTTCTTTTCTTGCTTCGCATCAGTGCACAAACAGCACTACCCTATGCTGTGTAGCATGACTGCTGTTATGTGGCTGTCTAGCACAGACCCATGCATCCCTGCTGCAGCACCACATGCAGCCTCCCTCAAATTAACAGCAGATTGCGTGAACCAGTGATTTTTGGCTCCTGGGCTGTGAAGCACCACTTGCCCCCCAGCAACATGCCACTCACCCAGGCAAGAGCAGAGCCCACAGCGGGGATGCCAAGGGGGGGGTAACATGACATGTGGGACCCCCTGACTCAACCACTGGAGTTTGCCGGGGTGAACACCAGCAGCCCCTCAGAGAGACCCCTGGATCCAGCGGCCATAGGGGTGCCCTGGGGATTCCCACCCAGAGGGCTGAAGTCCTGTTTGTCCACTGTCACTGTGGCTGTCCTGCTCCCCCTCGGAGGACTGGCTGCTGTCAGCACTCCCAAGGTTGCTGTAGGGGCCGTGGGGGCCACCCTCTGCCCCACCGAGGGTGTAAAAAGCCCGCTCGCGGACGTGAAGCTCATCGGCGCGCTTCATCTGATCCACCTGCCTGCTGTGGCCCAGCGCTGCGAACGTCCCCGGTGCCCCAGTCCCCAGCCTTCTGCCGTGGTGCCCGGGGAGGCGGCGGCCACCCCCAGCTCCTGACACTGCTGCTCCAGTCTCACCACCTCGCCCCCTCTCCCGGCCCTTGCCTGCTGCCATGCTGCCCACTTCTTGCCGTGCCTGTGGAGTGGGGCTGCCCCCTGCTTTGGTGGCATGTGACGTGCCCTCAGCATCGCCACCGTGGCTGCCAGCCTTTGTCTGGCTCCTGCTTAATGCCTGGCTGCTGGCTTTCCCACTTGGGGATGGTGCTTTGTCTGTCCTGGGTGTCTTGTCCAGCCCTGCTCCCCCTGGCTTGACCCTCACCCCTGCCCCAGGCTGTCCCTCCCCAAGGGGCTTTGGGGTGGCTGGTCTCACTTCCCCACTCCCTCCTTTCCCCACCACAGTGCTCCTGCCTGCCTCACGGCTGCTGGCTGTCACCGAGGAGGTGGTGTAGTCCCCCTCAGTCACCCCAGGGGTGGTAGTGGCCAGGCGGATGCTGGCTCCTTCAGCTGGGACAGTGGCCAGAGGGATGCTGGCTCTTTCAGCTGGGGCAGTGGCAGTAGCCTCCTCATCACCCCCCTCTTGGCGTGTCGTGGTAGCCAGATGGTCTGGCTTCCCCTTGACCCTCTGTCCCTCACCTCTCACCTCATCATCATCATTTTTCCCACGGACACTGGCAACTGTGGGGACAGTGACGTCACCACCAGTGATTCTCCAGGGGACAGGAGTCACCTGTCCTTCCCCATAGCCACCAATGGTGGTGGCACCTTCCTCATCCTCTCCCGTGGGGCGCACATCCCTGAGTCTGCTGGTGACCCTGAGTCTTCTGGTGACCCTGTCCCCATGGCTTAGGGTGGCTGTGGTGGCTGGTCCTTTTGGCTGGCTGCGAGTAGGGGTGCTGTCATCATCACCACCATCTGGTGCTGCAGTGACACCCAGCTTGGGGTGGGTGGGCCTGCTGGTTCCCGCAGTGGTGATGCTGTCATCCTCGCTGCCCACAGTGGCACCGGCCTGGGTGGTTTCTTGCTCCCCCACGTGGATATTGGCCCTCCCAATGAAGATGTTGACCTCATCATCCTTGCCTGGAGAGACTTGGGTGAAGCTGGTGGCCCTCGCTGTGCTGCCCAGGTTCCCACGGGTGATGGTGACACTGCCCGAGTCCGGGATGTAAGCGTATTCATCCACACCCGTGGCATCAACTTGGACGTCCTCTGTCTTCTCAGTGACAGAGGCAAGAGCAACATCTCCCATCCCTGTGCCCCGCATGACACCCTCCTGCCCTTGGCCAGAGACAGTGGACTCACCGCTGCCCTCATCCTCTGCCCCTCCAGTGGCAGGGGCCCTCTCCCTCCCAGCTGTCATTGCCCCTTCCACAGGAACCACTCCGGGGGCACCACCATCCTTGTCCTCACTCCTGACGCTGGACCTGTTCCTCACCACAACCTCACTGGGCTTTTCACCCTGAGGGATAATGGGAACATCGCTATCAAATTCAACCACCAAATCCAGATTGCCACTGCCCTCTGAGCTGGACAGGGTGGGACCTGCAGCTCCGACACCACCACGTGCTCGCGTGCCAGTGCCAGGGCGAGGACTGGGAGCGTCCCTGCCGGCGCCTGGGGTGCTGCGGTTTTCAGGCCTGAGGACAATCACATTCTCGATTGCTTCAGTGCTGCTGTTGTTGCTGCGCTCTGGGGTCGTCCTGGCCTCTGGCAGCTCCCGCTTGGCATTTTCCTCATCCAGCCGGCGGCTGGGGAGGATATTCTGGCGGTCAGCATCTTCTTTCTGTGCAATACACACAGGGGAGAGGTCAGGGACAGCCCTGGTGACAGACGGCTGCTTGGGGCCCTGCCTCCCAGCCAGGGTCCTGCCGTGCCACCTGGCCACCTCCTCACCTTTATCTGCGTCTGGTTCCTCCGCGTTGAGAATGAGTAGACATATTTGAAAATGTAGAAGCCATGCTTGGCATTGCAGCCTTTCAGAAGTATCTGGTGGGGAAGAAAATAACCAAACCCTACCATTTTCTTATGAAACGCATTGGCAGGATCTTCCCTTGCTGTACGTGGCATTGAAGCAGCATCCCAACAGTATCCCCTGAGACCCCAGGGCAGGCAGGAGCTCCCACCACCTCATGGCCACCAGCATAGGCAGAGATCTGGGCAGGATGCATGTTCTCCTATCCTGAGCTCTGGGGGTTTTGTTTTCCCTTAGGCTCATTTTCTGCTTGTGCTTGCTTTCAGGAGCTATGAGTTTGGATTTTTTTGTAAGGCAGCTTAAGGCTTGAATGAGCAACCTGGTTGATGGTCCCATCAGACATGAGTTATGGGACTGATGGCAATCAAGATACTGGAAGGACAGCAGCTTGTATCCAGTAGGGAAAACCAGGCATTTTCTTCCATACTACTCATCTGAATTATGATACTGATGCATTTTACACCAAAACACTTTGAAAAAAACCCTGTAGCAATTGGGCCTGAGATTTTTACACCCTCACTTGTGGGTACACCAGGCATTTGTGCTCTGGGGCTGGGCAGGGGAAGAGGAGCCCCTTGGGAAGGAAGTCCTTCCCTCACCAGAGCACATCACACCCCTCCCCACCCCTGCTATTTGTAAGAGCTGCTCAGATTCAAAGGCACTGCTGGTCTCTCTCCATGGCTCACTGGGGCTACCCTCCAAAAGGAACTTTTTCTCCCTGAGCCTCTGGTGCAGGGCATCCTGGGAGGTCTGGGTGAGGCAGGGGGGTACATACCCGGTGCTGTCCCACACAGTTCCCAGAGGCTCTTCCAGACACTGGCGGTGGCACCTGTGGGCAGCAAAACACAGGCATCAAACACTGCCCCAGCATCCAGGTAGCTGCCAGTGCCCACTGCTGGCCACTCACCCTGCCCAGCATAATGTACATGCCATAGTGTTCAGGGAAGGATGGGAAAACTGTATTGACAAGCCAGTAAATTTCCAGGTACTACTTGGGGTGCTGGCTTAAAGGAAGCAATAATAGGAAAGGTCTAAACCCCATTCCCAGGGTCTGAAAAGTATTGCAATCTCTGCTACAGCCTGATTAGTAGCATTAGAAGAATTGTATGCTACTTTTCATAGGGTGTTGTTGGTCTGCAAATACCCTTTTCTGTAGTCTGCTGCAGAGTATTTTATTGCAGAGCAGTTTCAATACAAGGCACCACTGTTCACACCACAGTGCTCCAACTCCCTGCTGGGGTCTGCCTGTGATGGGAGTTTGGAGCTGGTTGACTGGTGATGTTTCCCAGTCTTTACTTGCCAACTGAGCAGCAACCTCTGTGCCCTCAAAGCCAGGTTTCTGTACATGCTTGCAGGCTTATGGCTCTCCCTGATTATCCTGTCATCTTCTGGAAGATTTTGGCCATCCCTGCATCCCTCAGGTGGCTCTCGGTGGTGGGAACATCCTTTGAGCCCCACCAAGCCATTTCAGGTCTTCTCTACATGCCAGGGGGAGGGGGAGACAGGCCCATGGAGGGGAGTCCCCTTTGATCTCTGCAAAATTAGTCACTGAAACATCCCAAGTCCAGCTGAAAGAGGTAGAAATATGCCCCAGGGTGTTAAATACTCCCAGGTTATTCCATTGTTTGTGAACAGTATCAAAGACTGGATTACAGCCCTAATTAAGTAACAGAGTATTAACTTCTGTGCCCCTATCTGAAAAGCAAATCTGCACTGATTTATTGCCTTCCCTTGTGCTGCTCTGCTACAGACCTGGTTGTGCAAGCTTGCCCTGAGGGGGTTCAGCCCTCAGAGAAGATGTGATTTCCCTCCTCCTTACCTGCCAAAAAAGCAAGCCTTTTCTAGGAGCAGACTTTCACTCTGTGTATTTAGCATGTTGAGCAACAATCATGCAGGACAAAAATGGCTGCTGTTTTATTTATCTTAGTTTACCCTTTGTTTTAGTTATATCTGTCAAATTTTCACATTAGGAGAGCTGGAAAGTAACTGCAGGTGCCCCTCTAACCCCTGTTACCCACATGGGTAAGATGACCATCCCTCCCACACCTCACTTTTGTGGCTCCACGCAGGCTACTTCCAAGCCAAAAGCACCTGGCAGATCCCAAATCCACACAAATCAGGGGAAAGAGTTGTAGCCACCCAGACTGGCTCCTGCACAATGCCCTGGTTGCTAAGCTGAAGGGGCATGCTCAGCCACATCAATGCTAATACATATTTTTCCTGCTGGGTTCACCTCTGCAGTAGCACCTCAGTCCCCTCCCCAAGAACCAGAGGTGTTACACGCAAGTACAACTCATGTTTTCCTGCTGCTGAAAGCATGCCGGGGTGCTCTGGATTCAGCAGCATGCTGGGAATCTGGGGAGAGCCATACTTACAGGTGTTGAGAGGGCTGTGCTGAGCAGGCACAGGCACAGGCAGAGCAGGGCTGTTTTCATCTTGGGCTGCTCCTGGGGGCACAAAGCGAAGCATCACTGGAGTTTATCTTCCTAGGACTTGTGGTCACCAATGGTCCCAGTTAGCAGCAACCTAAAAGCTCCTGATATCCCAAAGCCCCCATGACAGCAAGGTTTTCCAGCAACCCCAGCTTTCCCTAGCTTTGTGGTGGCCTTTGACATCACCCTGCCTCTCTGTACTCCTCGCAGCAAAGGTACCATGCTCTCCCCATGTGCACAGGGCAGAGCCAGCAGCACCGTGTGGGTGCTCTGACACCAGGCACTTCCTAATTCCCTCTGTCAAAGCAGCTTGGGTGGGTACTTACAATAAATGATCCCCGAAGCCACTGCAGGCTAAGCTGTTCAGTCATAAGTCTGAATTAAGAAACACTCAGGCCCTTTTCAACAGCGCTGATAAAAGGCAGGAAGCAATAGCTCTGTTGGCCAATAATTCTCATTTCACCCAACCAGCTTGGCTTGGGCTTGCAGGTCCATCCTGGACACTATATTCAGCCATACAAGCATTGCTACAGGAAATAACAGAAGGAAATTCATGCACAAGGATCAGCAATACAAAGCAATGTAGGCTCAAGAGATACCCACAGCCGAGGATTGGAATGCTACCGTCCCCCACTGTGGCTTGCCTGGAGTGAAAGCAGGAGATGCCCTGCTCAGGGAAGGCAGAGGTGAAGGGCTAGAGAGAGACAGGGCAGAAAACTAGGTAGGAAGATTACCTTTTCCTATCGGAGGCAGAACCCAGTGGCAGACCATGGAGCCTGTGCCCACTTTGCTGAAATTTAAAGTTGGCCCCAGGTGCGCAGAGCCAATCAGCTCCTGCCCAGGGACATTTGTCAGCACTGGCAGCACCCGCAGATAACCAGGGGGAGTAATTTCCAGCTAAAATTGTGCTTGTGGTGAAAGACAGCTATCAAATGTTCCACCTGGCTGGATAAACAGAAAGCACAGTTTATAAATATCTGTTCTGAAGGCTGAAATTGCTCGATGATTAGTGCAGATCTTAGTGTGGCACACAGCCAGCTTGGTTATTGATAAGAGGGTGTGCAGTGGGTCTTGGCGTGCTCACTGTGACTGACATGGGAAAGCCAGCAGGGCTGCAGAAAGGGAAGGGCAATATCCTGAGCCAGGCCTGGTCCTGGGCATGACTGTACATCACAGGGCAGCAATGGCCAAGCCAAGAGCTACCACCACTGCTGTAGCTTCTGACACTTGTTTTTTGGGTTTCAACCTCAAACCCTCTGAGCTAAACCTGTGCAAGTACAAAATAACAGAGTGGCAAAAAAAATTAAAAAAGGTATTTTTCCATGCACTTCTTGCACAAGTCCGTTCAATCCCACCTTTCCTATGGAAAGGTGCTACAAAGATGTGCATGATGTACATGCCCTTCTCCTCCCTGCCTCAAGTTTTGGTGGCATTGCTGGTCACCTACACCCTTGCCAAGAAGGGTTTCCCCTGCTGAAGCCAGCCTGGCTCAGCTGCTCAGTGTGGCGACGGTGACAGCAGCTCTCATCCCACTCACCACTCTGCCCCAGCCCAAATCCTGGGAGCTGGCACGACTACTGGATTAACACCAGAAATGCTTGAACCATCAGCATCCAGCCTCAGGCAGGAGCAAATCTCAGAGCCAGCATGAAACTTGCCCTTCCCCCGGGAGCTGCAGTCAGATGCTGCCCCACAAGTACCAGAGCAGCCAGCCCATGTGCCTTGGCTCAGGGAGAAGAGCTTTTGCCAGGTGCCTGGGGGGCTGACGCACACAGGACTGGGCTACGCGCCCTGTGGGAGTGGGACCCAGCCCCTGGCAGTGCCAGGGCCCTTTGTCCATGCTGGTTCCCTGACGTCTTTGGGCACCCCCTGGGGATGAGGATGATGGGGCTCTCGTGTCCCTCCCACCAGCCATGAGCTCATACAGGGCTCCCCAGTGCTGCCTAGGGATTTGGCCCCAGGGGTGCCCACCCTGCCAGGCGGCACCTCCTGCCTCTCCAGCATCTACAACCCGGCTCTGGCACAGGGAGGCAGTTTTGTACAATGCCCAGCAGTTTGCTGCTGTGAGACTGGACTCGTTTTGCAGTCAGACCTACACTGGGATGTTGAACACAGGTTTCCTTTCTAGGAGTGTGAGAGTGGCATGGTGCCTGCCATAAACTATTTATGAGTGCCATCATCAATCCCAAATGGTGGTACCTGCCTGGAACCCAGGCAGAGTCATTCCCTCCCTATCCTTAGTGCTGGTCCCTAGCTACACAGGGACACACTCCTGCTGGGAAGTAACTCTGAGCAGGGGTCCTGGGAACTGCAAGCCAGGCATCCCCACCCCTGATGCAGGAGGGAAGTGGACAGCCCTACCTTTGCCCTGGGTATGAGGCTGTGTGTGTGATAGGGACATTTTGGGCTGCAGTACTGGTGTTCAACACACACATCCATGGTTCCCAGCCCTGTACCTGCATGCCTGGTGAAGGGATGCAGAAGCAGAGGCCTCATTGTAGGGGCGTGCATTTGCAGCTAGTGATGCACAGAAAGAGAAATTAGTGTCTTTATTAACATTGCCTACTGTGTGGTCAGGCCATGGGAGGTATGCTACCGAGAAATGGAGGATGTGGTAAAGTTATCACTGGAAATTCATGTCAATGATACATAAAACATGGCTGTAAACCCAGAGCAGTGACACTAAAAGTGCCCTTTCATTTTTCAGAGGGGACTGTACAAAGGCTTTCCAAGTTAACCTTTCTGTTCCTCTTTCCTTTCATGTGCATCTGAGCTGGAATAGCAAGATTCAACCCTGAGCAGCATGAGCACCTGTAACACCCTCAGACCATCAAGCACTGTGCTGCCCCACTGATCCCAGCAAGTTTGGCAGCAAACCTTTCATCACCAACAAGTTCAGTTCAGTTGCTTTATTTCATTTCACTTTGCAAGATACAAAAACAAACAAACAAACAAAAAAGCCTGGGACGGAGCCAGTATGCATGGCAAGCTGCCTGGCGTCCCCTCTGGCATGCAGTGGCTGCCGTGAGCCTTCGATTGCACCTTCCTGAGTGGGATGGGGCAGGTGGGGGAGCACCAGGGCTGCCCCCTGACCCGCTCACTGGCTGTAGTAGTAATCCTGGCCATACACGTCGTAGCCGTGCCCTTTGTAGTAGCCGTACTCATCCTCGTAGGCCCGGTAGCTGTCCCCGCGGGCGTACTCGTCCTGCTCCTCATACCCGCCCGCGGTGGTGCCCTCGTCCCCCCGGCCGTGGTCCCTGACCGTCACATCGTACTCCCACAGCTCCCCAACTGTGGTGGCATCTGTGGTGGCCTCTGTGGGTCCCCCATCACCCATAGTGGTCGCCTGGGTCAGCCCCTCTTCATTGGTGGTGCTGGCGATGGTGGTGGCTTCAGTTTCCTCCTCCTCCTCTTCTTCTTCTTCTTCTTCTTCTTCTTCCTCCTCCTCCTCCTCTTCCTCCTCTTCCTCAGCTGCACCAGTGCCCTCCTCAGCCACTGCAGTGCCATTGCCATGAGGTCCATCAGCCCCCTCAGTGGTGTTGGTGCTTGTGCCATTGATGCCATTCTCGTTCTCGTCTACTTCTTCTTCCTCCTCTTCCTCCTCCTCATTCTCATCACTGTCTTCATTTTCAGAGTCTTCCCCCTTGCTGGCAGTTCCATGCCTGACCCCCTTCAGGGTCCCTTGGCAGCCCTTGCCCTGGCAGGGGGGAAGACAACACAGCATTATTTGGGTGTCAGGAGGCTGCAGCTCCATGTGACAAGGGGCTGAACATCCCCCCCCACACCTTGCATGCAGGACTGTCTTTTTGGGGTACCCCTTCCAACCCCAAATTAATGCCTGGAGCTTGGTCCAGCCGTGAGTGTCTTGCACAGCAGCCCCCCAAGGCAGAAAGGGGGTGTAGGGCGCCCATGGGTGCAAGCAAAACATGCAGTGAACATACCCCTCCCTCCCAGGTTCTCCCCTCCAGCTCTCCAAACCACACCTGCTGGGGGGATGTGACTTCTCCTCCCAGGCCACCCTGGCAGTCCTCAGGGGCTGCTCCAGCAGGATGGCCAGCTGCCTTGGTGCCAGCATGAAACGGCTCCTGTGGGGACAGGGAAGGGGGTCAGCAGCAGGAGTGGAGCACAGCCCTCCCAGCAGCGAGGGGGGCATGCAGCATCCCCACACAGCATTTTGGGCATTGCTCCGAGTTTCCTGCTTTCCCACGGATCTTGTTCCAGGCTGAAATGGAGAAGCTGCAGCAGGGCAGCCGGAGCCGTGCAATTAAGTGGTGGTGGCTGGAGCCGGGTGTTCCCATTCTGGCTTTACAAAGCATCTAAAGGTTTTCTTTTGAAGTCACCTCTCCCCATTTCCAGTAAACAAAGAAAGCCACAGGTACACTACACGTGGACACACTGCACGTCATATGAGATGGTTAGTGGAAGCATGATGGCTCAAAGCCAGGCATGAGCCTGAACCCCACCAGCCATCAGCCACTGAGCACTGCTTGGCCACAGAGACCAGAATGGAGCTCCCAGCAGTGTGCATGGCAGTGTGCTCCACTAAAAAAGGCAGTGAATATCCCAAATGCAAGCAGAGCCTGGAGCAACTACTCGTGGGGCAGCTCACCCAGTGCCCAGCCTAGGAGGAGGAGCACACTGCCACCAGCAAATGAACACAGCCATGGCAGGGAGACAGGAGGTCAGTGTCATCCCTGCCCTGGGCAATCCCTGCTGCTCTCATGCCAAAACCGAGGACACTTACCCTGGCATTTTGGGCAAGCTCAGGCCTTAAAATATGGGTGCACGTGATGCCAGAGAAAATCAAGGCTGTTTTCCTCTCCAATGGGAGAGCCATCGAATCGCACAGTGCATCCAGCTGTGCCGATGGGAGTGATGCTCCCCGTCTAGTAGCTGAAATAATTGGTCTTTGCATACCTATGACCGACCTTGGAGCCTTTCAGCACAATTTCTCTTGCTGACCAGCCCCTGTCAGTATCCCTGCACGGGAACAGCCACTACTCTGGTGCCCTGGAAAGGAAAGGGGCAGCCCCAAACAGCAGCTACATTCCTGCATAACTCTTAATTTCTTTCTGAGGTTGCCCCATCCCACTACTCAAAGTTATCCCTAGAGATTGCAGTGTTAAAGGATAGAAACAGGCAAAAAAGGGCAAATTGTAGGGAGGTGATGGGGCTGGCAGATGTGTCTGGGGACAGAGGCCACCCCATACTGTACCCCAGCCCCAAAAAGGCCTCCAAAGGGCGTTTTAGTACCAGAGTTCCAGACTTTCATTGAATTATATATATAAAAAAAGAAGAAAATAATAAAAGATGGGATTAGACTTGACACACAGGTTTCCAGGCATACGAGATCCTTCCTTCAAAGCAGCCATGTGCTGGAGACCACCGGATTATTTTTGAACATTTGCAGCTGAGTGAGGCACAAGAGACCTTTGTAATCCCTTGCATTTAATTTTGAACCTGGGTGCCTCTTACAAATGCAGAGGTGCCTAAGCTCATATTGATCCAACAGACAGGAGCAGCATTACCATCTGGGCTGGTACAAATGTGCATTTCCCAATCTTCATCAGTCTGTGTCCCTCCCTCCACACACATAAGTGCAGAGCATAACTGTTTTCCATAGCAATCTTGTCAGCACTGTGGGGGCAACACACCCTGAAAGAGCATGGTAAGAGGAGTTCCTAACAGCACTTTCTTCCTTGCATGAGCCTCCCTGTTTCTGCCTTTTGGCCTGTCTTGTTCCTTTCTGAGCCACTGAAAATGGAAACCCAGAGCATTTGTCTAAGGGTTGTTTGGTACATCCCCCACCCAGGAATAAAAAGGAAACAAAAAAGGAAAAAAATCAACAAAAAATAATAACATAATCCCCAGAGTAGAAAATCCAGTTGCATCCAGAGTGCAAGGCCGTGGGCGGTCAGCAGCCACAAATGCTGATGAGCAGAGACTACAAAACCAAAGAAAGTTCCCAAATTCCCGTATTTGTTTTGCAGGCTGCTGGTTTGCCATACTCACCCCCCCTTCCTCCTCCTCCTCCGAGCCATCCCCCTCTTCCTCAGATGAGTCACTGCCCTAAAGAAGAGGGAAAACCAAGTGATAGGTGAGTGGGTGGGTTTCTGCTGGCGTCACAGCGCAAGGCTCTGTGGCCCAGCGCCGCAGGCCAGTGGCAAAGAGGGCACAGACCGTGCCCCCCATCCTCATTTGGGCCAATATCCCTGCATTTGGGCCAATATCCCTGCATCCCTTCGTGGGCGGTGAAGCATCGGCACCCCCTCCGAAGCACCCACCTGGTACCGTCGCTGAGGGGGATACACATAAACGTATCTGTACAGGTAATGCCGGTGCCTGTTCTTGAACACCTGCCGGGAGGAGAAGGGGGTAAATCCCATCAGTCTGGGGGCTCGGGTATGGGAGAGACTGAAATGTGCCCTTCCTCAAGACCAGCACTGTGTGGGACCGGGAGCGCAGGGTGGGGGGAGACCCTACCGCATTTTCTTCCGAGTCATCCAGCTTGGCTCGCCGCAGCCAGCTCTTGACCTGGGGGAAAGGGTGGGTTGGCAGAAGCCCCACGCCAGCTCCGGCAAGGATGGGGTGGCCCCCCCTGCCTGGCACTCACCGAGAAGGCGCACGCCATCCCCACCAGGCAGACAAAGACCAGGACTGTCCTCATGGCTGCTTTCTCTGGGAACAGTGAAACACGTTGAGGGCTTGCTTTTCAGCTACCCCAAACTATCCGTGTGTCTGTGTCCACATGGATGAGCAGGGAGAAGAAAGGCTGACCTCCAACCATCTCTTGGTGGGGTCTCCCAACCCCTGCACAGACCGAAATCCTTCATTTTTTTCCCCCATGAATGCATCTTGTTTTTTCAAAAAGCCACAAAATAGCTGAAAAGTGAGTTTCACCATGCAGTAGATGCACTGCTTTCCCTGAGCAGTACTACTCACTCCTGCTTTCCCATTGCCTTTGAGGGAGGGGAGGAAGCCAAGCCCCACTGGACATGGGACAGGAGCAACTGGGAGCACTGTCTACTGTGGCCACCCTCCCACACCCCTGAAACCTGCCTGGGCTCTGCCCAGGGAGCAATGCTTCTGGGAATTACACCACAGAGAGTTTAACCTCACTGAGGAAAAATAAATAAGCAAACAAAGGAATGAATAAAGTTGGCTTCTGCAGCCTGCCATTGACAAAAATAGCAGTGGCAAGACACCAAGGCAAGGAGCCCCCTGTAGGCATATCTGGGCGGGGGCTTGGCTCTGGGCAGGTCTGAGCTGCACACCCTAAGCACCAAACCCCAGCCTGCCCTTCCCCACCAAGGAGCAAGAGCACACCCAATCCTTCCTGCAATGTTCCAACCCTTCCCTCAGGGAGGGATGCTCCCGGTATCCCCCCAGGCACAGTAAGGCCCACTAACCCTCCTTTTTCCTACCCTTTCTTTGTCTAAATCCACCATCAGCTGTGCTTGGGGGGACTTGTTATGATACTCAGCTGCGCTTGAAGTTCGCTCATCTTTATTTAACTCAAGCCTGAAAACAAGTGGCCACAAGCTTCCCTGATCATGCAGCAAGGCTCTGGATACTCATCCCCCTCCACCCAAGGGCTTCATGGAGCCACAGACCCAGGAAAGGACGAAAAGCAGCATCCAGCCCTGACAGCAAGCTGAGCCCCCCTGTCCTCTCACAAAAATCAAACAGCAGAGAACAAAAAGACTGGAAGAAGTCGCAGGAAGCTTACCCTGCCGCAGCACCGACAGCAACCCACGGAGTCAGCTGGCACTGATTTCCTCCTGCTGCTGCCCTGCTGGGATATAAGGTCTGGTTTTGCCCCCCCCAGGCCAAGTCACCGCCCTGCCCAGAGTGACGCCAGCCCACCGCCGTGCACCAGAAAACCCCAAAAACTTCAACGCTGGCAGATTTGGTGCACAAACATAGTGCCCCATGCCGCTGCCAAACCTGGGGAGGTTTGCACTGCACCGCCTAATTGAGGGTCTGGCCTCAGAGGAACGGCCGGGAGGCCGAGGGTATAATAACACTCTGGGCTTAAGTTAAAATAAATATTGGGAAATCTGTTCCTAGGGGGTGTCCACCTCCCGTTTTTGGGAAATTCTGTCACTGTTTTTTCAAGTAGACAAAAAGACCGACCTCAAAGGCCTGTCTCCGCAGCTACTTGGGCATAGCTGTTAGACAAAAAAAAAGCTAAATCCAAACAAATCCCTCTCCACGTTGCTTGCAGAGGCCTTGGTAAGGGCAGGGAAAGAAATGGGGACTCAGATACAGGTGTCACTAGTCCCCCCTTAAGAGCAATTTCTGACACAGTGATGCTACAAAGTGCATGTCTGCTTCGTTTCTCCTGCTCTCCAAACCATGCAGACCCACACAGGGGCCAGCCTGGTCCCCCGGTCTCCAAAATCAGGCATTCTCCAGCTGAAATCTGTGTATGCCCCCAGCAAAGCAGAAAAAAAAAATACAGAAATACCACCCACGCTCAGTCAAAGCTCAGTGGGGAACTTGGTGACCCGTGGTCAGAGCCCACACCTCCTGCCCTGCACCTGATAGCAGCGGATGGGGGCACGTGGATGCTGCCCTGGCACCCACCTCTGCAGGGGCATCCTTTCTCCTTTAGCTATAGTTATCATTTCCTGCTGGAATTTCAGACACCCAGTTAGTTCTCCAGTGTACCTCTTCTCAGCCTTTCCCAGACTTTTCCTGCCCTCCTCAGCAAAGGCCCCTGAGCTCCTTCATACACCTGGGCTGCAGCACCTCAGGAGAATGACTCCTCTCGAAATGCAGCTTTGCTTTCCACAGTGGCAAGGAGAATTGCAAATCCCCTGCCACTTGATGCCTTCAGCCTTCCCTTTCCCTTGGAGAGGGAACAGTGGTGTTGGAAAAAGCATGCCTTCAAGCAGGTCCATGACACTCAGCTAGTGGTAAAACTATGGTTATTTAGGGCAGAAAAATCCACTTTGCCACAAAAGACCTGAATGTTCATGTTTCTGCTCAAAACTAGGGTCACAAAAAGCCTCATCCAGTTGACCAAATTCCCAGGTTGTGACCAGAATGACAAAGCCTTTTTTTTTCTTTCTTTCTCATCACCACATCAATAGGTACATCATGGGAAGTTGCTAACTGCTGATAGAATACCATGCATATCACACGCTTTTGGGAAGGCAGGGGTCCTTTGCAGTGCACTGGGGGTCCAGCAGCCCTGCTGTGCCTGCCCCATGGGTTTCAAAGCCTGCTGTGTCACGTGAGGAGCCCTAATTACAAGGGAGGCCTGGAGCTGGCTGTGGCTTTTGGCTGGTGCCTCATGCCAGGAAAACCCACACACACACACAAAGGAAAAAAAAAAAGGAGAAAAAAAAAAGAAAAAAACAAGCAGCCATGCAGTTTTCCAGTGCCAACACAGCAGCCTCCAGTAAAGAGAGAGACCAGCACTGTGAGGGTTCCCATGCTGTCCCAGCCCCATGGGTTTGGAGCAGCTAGAGGAGCTGCCCTGCTGGTGGGTGTGATGCAGGGGGCTCAGGACAGAGACAGCCCTGCTTTCCGCTGTCCCATGCTGTCCTGGGCTGCTTGGCCCAGGAAAGCAGTGAGCATGTGCCCAGCTTTGAGCTTAAAATTTCGTCAGGGCTTGGGAACAGAGAGTGCTGGTGGGAGGCGATTTTTAATGTAATTAAAGGGCTTTTGCTCCAGGCTACTTAAAACAAAATAGAAAACTGACTATAAAAACACATATTTCACCCAAGATCCCTAAAAAGCACCAGGATAATTAACATGTACCCAAGTGCCTTGTGCAGCCAGTACCTATGTTTAGCTCCTGGAGTGAGTGATGCCTGGGCAGGCCACCAGCAGCAGCAACTTCACAGCACCATGCAGAGAGAGCAGTAGGGAAGTCAGCCAACACATCCAAAATGTTTCCATTTGAATTTTTTTTCTTATTATTACTTTAAAGAGCTTCACATCTCAGAACTGGAGCATTCGTCTCTGTCTCTTAATGCTTTTGCAAGAACTCTGGCTGTCCAAGGGAGCAGCGCTTGGAGAGATAACCCATTTGCCCAAAAGGGTATCTGTTATTGAAAGTGATTGCAGGCTCTGAAAGCTTTATGAAAATTATCTCACCTTTGTAGATAACAGCTGGAAAAAAACCATGGAACAGCTCATAGAGGCTCATCTGCCTCCAGGGGATGGGGCTTTGATCAACCTGGTCAAGCAGAAGGTGTCCCTGCCTGTGGCTGGGGGGCTGGAACTAGATGATCAGATGCCACAAGCAAAAGCCCTTTTTTGGGGAGCAGGGAGAAGGTAGGCATACAGCATGCAGCCCACATGTGGAAATGCACTCCCATCCATTTTTTAACGTGTACAAGTATACTGCCGTGTTGCTCATTACACACCCCTGTGAGCAAGCTGGGTGTCAGGCACACAGCCCTCTCCCAAACCCTGTATGGGCACATTACTGCCCTCACACAGCTCCAGGCAGCTGCTGCTATGCCCAAACCATGACACGCCCCTGTGACCCCATACTGGTGGGGTTGGCACCAGCTCTGAGCTGCAGCTGGGTGGGCTTGCACCCAGCAAGGGCACCGTGTGTGGTTTTGATGTACTCTCCTGATCCCATGGGGACCTCACGGTCAGAGTGTCCCTGTCTGGCGCAGGCTGACATGGCTCCTAGGTCCAAATTTAATTATTATTTTTTCAGGGTGGTAAATGAGCGGAGCAGCGTTCTCCTGTCCTGCCCAGGTCCACTGCGGGGCTGAGGCTGTGGTTGGGGCTGCACCATCCTATTTCCACGCCCTGGAGCTATTCTGGAAAGAAACCTCAGGGCCAAAAATAAGTAAAGAAAATAAAACCAGAAGGACACTTTGACCATGATGAGAAGAGACCAAGGTGCTGCTGCAGCCAGAGAAAGGGGCACCCCTGCCATGCAGCTCAGTGACCAAGGCACCTCCAAAATATGTGCAGGGAGGCACCTGAGGCAGAGCTTTCCTTGGCTTTCACCTCTCCCTGTGTGCTGTCAGGGACAGGAGCATGTGTGCCATGGCCACCAGCTGGGGAGAGAAGTGATGTGCAAGAAGAGGGAGCACGTGTAAGAGTAAGGGATGCCTCTCTTTTTCCCCTTCCTCTTACAGCACAAACCCAAATGCAAACCAGCATCAGCTGGGTACACAGCTTATTATTTTTTTGCTAACAGTCGATTTTAGAATAAAACTGTGAGGGGAGAATTTCTAAAATGCACCACATATCAATCTTGGCTATCAGTACAAAACCCTTATATATTGACCCTCTGCAGCTGAACATTTCATATGATTTTCCTTTTTCTGTGAGCAGAAACCAGGTGAAGGAAATTAATTCTATTTACCTGCCTGGAAAAATGCAGGATGGGAGTATCTCTGTAATGTGAACACTCTGAAGCACCATGAACCCTGGGAACAGAAACCCAGCAAATCACTGAGGCAAGGTCACAGCATTATCACAAATCCCAGCACCCGCCACCACCCAGGCCCTCACGAGTTTGAGCAATATCTGTATATCAGATTTCCCCTGTTTTTTTCCTTGTTTTGCCTTTTTCAGGAGCAAGAAGCTGCTCATGAGCCAGAATAAGTTACCAGGTCTGGTCCCACCACCTGTCTGCTGCCTCTATCCACATGTGAGAGCTCTCAAACACAGCCACAGGAGAAAAAGCCAGATAAACACCCTCAAAGACTCCATTTTCAGAAGGAGAGCAGGCAGATAAGCTGGATTCATTGCAGAAGTTCTAACCAACCACCTGCCCACCCAGCTCAGGAAATGAGCTCTCTAACAAAGTTAAATCAGTGTCCCTGGACAGTCAGGCATCTCGATGGTGTGGAGACACACTGCTCCCATGCCACACTAGTAATGGCTGCTGACCACCCTACTCCCTGAAAGAAAACTCCTGAGCCTGGGATTAAAATGGTACCATTTGCAGCAGTGTGTCAGCAAGAACTACTGCACTTGCACTGGTTATTTGTTACTGCATACATATGTGAGTTGCACAAAGCTAGTATATGTATCCACATATCATAAGATCAGAGTATGGTTTGGGTTGGAAAGGCCCTTAAAGATCATGTAGTTCTAACCACCCTGCCATGGTCTTCAGCAAGACCAGATTGCTCAATGCCCTGTCCAAAATGGCCTATATATACACAGGGAAGTATATGTCTCTAGCAAAAAAAGTACCTTAACACTCAGATACTCATTTTATTTTGGAAAAATTTGGCTTTGGAAGTTTTCATGCTATCATGAACTCACTTTTTGCTCTTCAGGTGAGATAACATCAGGTTTAGGACAGAAAGGGTAGATGTTGCCTGTGCTCCTGAGTTGCAGGTTCAGCTCCTGTATTAGGTAACCTGATGCCTTCTGCTAAAACACACCACCAGCTCTTTGCCGCATTGCATTTCAGGGTGTGAAAACAAAAAAAACCACCCTGAACTGCAAACTACTTGCTCATTCTGCAGCTTTAAGATCTCCATTATGAGTTCAGGGGGTGCAGTACAGGTGGATGTTAATGCTTGAACTTTACTTTTATCATCCTGCAGTGCCCAACTCCTTGGAGCAGTGCTGGGGACCACAAAACTCCCAGGACATGGCTGAGCCAGCAGAGGGGGGGAGGGAAGTTATTTGCCATTAAAGTGCATGGGAGTAAAGGCAGCTGGAATTAAAAATTTCTTCAGAGCATTCAAAAGGTTTGTGGTATTTTGGTGTTTCACTGAGGACAGAGGCTGTTTTCCCATGGCCAAGATGTTTCTTTTGTTCAGATTGATGGCCACAATGATTCTGTCAGAGGCTTCTCCTCCATGTTGAAAAGGCCAGA